AACAAAATGAGTCATTATTGGGTTTGCAGATCAGACAAAAGTTAATGAAATGCAACCACGTGTATAACTTGTTGGGGGCGGGGAGGAGGGAAGAGAGAGCTGAGAAATATCAGGGAAGTGCCAGGAATTCAAAAGAGAAGTTCCTCTAGGCTTAGTGAAATAAGGGATTGAGATTCACCTAGGGTCGATGGGGGGTTTGTGCATCTTAAACAGATTGCGAAGGAAGAACGTAGAGACCCAAAACAGTTCTCACCCACAGGATTCCTGAAAGAATTGATTCTCACCGTTTTCTTTATTAATTAGCTTCAAAGAATTGCCTGATCCTACTTTTATGGCCACAATTTTCAGTTCAGAGCCATTCTTATATCACTACTTCAGACATTCTGACAGCGCTTCCAGTTAGTTAATTATACGCAGACTCTCTCCTTCAATCTTTTTTGTTCTTTCTTCTTTTATCCTCGCTTCCCGGGAACTCTCTCATGCTTTCTGTTATCCCTTTCAGCATGCCCCTGATCCAATGCAAGATTGCATCTCACTCGGTGGAAGGTTATAACTAGTCAGCTCTTATAACCATGTCCATCCGAAAGCCAAAGTCTTACTAAAAAAAAAACTTCAGTCTGACACAGCTTACTCTGATGTTCACAGAATTGGCCATGATCCTAATTTCGGGATTTAAAAAAAAACTGGACTGACAGGACATGTCTGATGAGCCATTTCTGTGACCTGCCTGCATTTTCTTTTTTGTTTGTTTTGGGGGTGGGGGGTGTTCAGCTGGGTGTGTGACACATGGGGAAACCCATCACCATGCTTAAGAATATCCAAACCAAACTGAGAATTCCATGCATCCCGCCTACATCAAATTCCTGACAATCACACTCCCTGATTTCATCCATCTCCTACCCTCCCACTTAACTCCTCCCTTAATGCTACAGGAAACCAGCACTCGGAAAGTCTGAAGTATCTGAAACCTGCAAGCCCTCGATGGCAGAGAAATGCAATAAGAAATGATTGAGATGCCCCAAAACTAGCGTGTGCTGGGTTGTCGCACATTAACTAAGCCTCTGGGAACTCACTCACCCAAGGTTGTTGCGCTTCGACTGTCAAGTGTGAGTCAAACGCAGCACTAAACAGAACACTTGACCATAGGGGGCATCAGAGCGCCATAAGATCCAGTCTGTACCCAACATGCACAACCTTCCCAACATGGGTCACTGAGCAGCATCCAGGACAGGAGCCTTAAGACGTTGGGTCAGGAAGCAGGGAGGAGAAAACACACTCAGCCAACTCCAGCATCCCTCCTGCTGCTCTGGCTGAGATCAACAGCACTCTGGCAGCACAATTCTCGGTTTCTAAAGGAAAAAAGAAGGTCGTCCCATCAATCAGAGGCTGGAAAGCAACACTTGGTGAACATATGGAATACTGCCATACCCAGCACTGACTCCACAGCACGCTGTCTAAGGCTCTGACTGTTAAATCGCTATTCGCACTGCACCTATACGTGCAGCACAAGAACAGCATTACACAACATGCTTTTGAAGTACCAATGATTTACACTCAGCAGCTTCAACTTCTTTACTTGAGGCACCCATTGGAGAATCATATGCTCCATCGATCAGAGAGAGAGAGAGAGAGAGAGAGCGCCGAGAGGAAGAGGTTTCTTTCTCCCCTCAACTTTTTTTTAAAAAAAACTTAAGATAAGTTCCCAACAAGACGCGTGTTTGTACGCATCACCTTACAACGCCACTCTGCCGCCCTGGTACAGCAAGCTGGAGTCAGCAACCTCACAGCAAACACATTGTAGATAAGATTGTAATTGTCAGCTACGTTGTAGAAATAGAAGACCCGCCAGGATCTGGCAGTTCAGGGGAAATGAGCCACTCGCAGGTTGCGCAGTCAGCACTCCAGGCTCCAAGTGCAAGTGCGTTATTTTCCATCAAACCAGCGGTGGATGAGAGAATTGGCCGACCAGCTATAGTGCCAATATGTCCTGAGGTTTTCAGGTGTTCTGCAGTATTGGTTTTGTTATTTCCATTCTGTTAGCATGCCACTGAGAGATCAGCCTATGTACAGGACTTTAGAGCCAGTGATACTAACAGAGCAAGAAAGCAACCAGAAGGCCTTGTTTACACAATACAGAATATAGTAAAACTGGATTCAGCATCTCTCATATCAGCCCGTCTCAGAGTGCAGGGGAAGTTCATAGATTGTTCTCAGATCCTCTCTCCTCCTTAAGGTATTATGAATTATGAAATTGGTACAGGTTCATTCAGCCCATCAAATCCGTGTTTTTCTGCACATGAGCCTCCAATCTACTCCAAACCCACTCCCCAGAACACTCTCCACACCTCAGAGATTCCTCTTTTTCAAGCATCTGTCCAATTCCCTTCTCAAAATCTCAGTGGACTCGACTTCAACAACGGTTTGCGTCAGAGCATTTCACATTTTTAAACACCGTCCTTGCAAAGGCATTTAACCTCCCTTTAATTCCTTTTGGGACACCTTACATTTGTGCCCCTTGTTCCTGACAGCGATACTAATTACTCTTGTCATTTCCATATAATGGCGAAGCTTTCTATCAGGTCATCCCTTAACGTCCTCTGCTCCTTTGCTTGGTCTTATTGTGGTACAATGAGCACTGTCACCTTCCCAATTACTTACTCGGATTGCTCCTCCTGAGCGTGTTAAGTGTTTGCAAGCTAGTTGTACATGGGGGGGGTTAAAGCATCGCAGTCAAACTCTGTACCTTCCAGCAGGGATCATTGGCTAACAATCAGCAACAGGAAACCTGCACTGATTTTCCCCTCTCAAACCCAGGAACATGAGGTCAATTGTGGCACCTCTGCGGCTGCCCTGACTACCTCATTAGTTAACTCAGGACATCATTTGAACCTGAAACCTTCCACCCTGTATGACCTTTGGTTGTGCATTTGCTCACTCACTCGCTCTCTGGGACAAATCTACGCGCTCTCCACTTTTAAATATTCCCCTCTCCCCTTTTCCAAACGAAAAATGAATGGATTAACAGGAAGGTATTTTTCTTCCAACAAAGAGATGTTGCCCGATCAAGATCATTCATTACCTTTATTGAGGAGAGCAGGGACTTAGGTGACGGGAAGACAAATCTCATATTACCAGTTCCTGAAGAACAAAGTTCCAGATCAGGAACAACCATTGACTTAACTACGAGAGAGCAACATGACTTCTTAATTTCCATCTCTCTTTCGTAACAGAAAGAATCATGAAATGGAAAAATCGATTTTAAAATGGGACTGTCCTTGATAGATTGTTTCTAAAAAAAAAGAAAGACATCTAATTAATAATCCTTGCATTTTTTGGTTTGAATTGTGTCCATATAAAAACATATGAGGGTGTTGGGTTGTGGATTCGTTGTTCTGAGACCAGTTGATGGCGCTTGGGTTGGATTTGCAGTTTGCAAGAAAATGCAGTAATGGGCAATAGGTATAGTATGAGCTAATCGCCCGTTATTGGTCTTAAGGCACCGACGTGCATCTGGATTTCCGTAAAAGCAGTGGGTTAAATCCAGGAGGCAGTGCAGTGAGGGCTGGAAGGGTACACTCCTCCAGTGTGTGCGTGCAGAGCGCACAGAGAGAGAGAGAGAGCTGCTGCACCTGTAACATGGTCAACACCACCACCCAAAGATGAGTCGGCGATGGGTCTAACTGGCAATCGGCGAAACCATGAGGTTTATATGTTCTTTTTTTAAAAAAAACACTGTACGAAAAATATACCTGTCATTAAGAGGGCGCTTTGCTAATAGCCACTGTATCCAAGTCAGGCAGAGCAGAGGCCGATCATCTGCAGCCTTCAGCCCTGGTCTGAGTGAGAGGCGACTCGGTCTGTATTGAACTCTGCCTCCGCCGACTTGGGAGCAAATCGATCTGGGCTTTCTACAAACTCATGGCCAATTTTCTTTGGACGGTCAAGAATATTAAATGGAGTGTTAAAGTACGTTCTTATTTAAATAGATGCAAAAAAAACCCTCCCCCCTCCTCCCCCACCCCCCATAAACTTAGAATGTAACAATTATTATTATTAATATAACAATCCGACACACACGCACATGTGTTGTGCAGAGCTGCAGCCTTCTGCTCTGTCTCTCTCTCTCTCTCTCGCTTGTTTCTATCGCCCGCAGAACAGAGACTGAAATCGGATTAGCAAAGATGATCCCATGAAGGAGTGTGATGGGGTGCTGGAGCCAGGCAGCCCACCCCGGGGCAGGCAGGGCAGGGCAGGGCAGGCACAGCCTTGCACGGCACCAGGCACTGGCCAGTGCTGTCTCTGGCTGCTGCAGAGTCATACATAAAACCTCCTGACACGATTCCGCGGCAGTTTTCAAACCGAGTTAGTTAGCAGCTGTTCACTGTAAACCCGGACCGATTCATTCCCACGCGATCCATAAAGTGCACTGACGATGCCCCGCGCCCCGGGGGGACCAGGGCGATCGAACATGAAAAGCACATGATGAAAAGCAGCGCAATCGGACACCGGTTTAACCAGATCCATAACCAGCGCCGGATTTTGCAATAAATGTTGCACTGATCTTACCGGGGGGGGGGGGGGGGGGGGGGGGGGGTGGGGGGGGGGGGGGGTGGGGAGGGGGTGGGGGGGATTATTCTGTGCAATAACGGTGCCATTAGGAATTCAAGATAAAACTGTCGCCTAAATCGATGAGATCCGCTTTAGCTCCGTCTTTTTCGGGGCTGGTTATAAACCGATGTGGGTTACAGTGCTCGAAGAGTGAGTGAGTGAGTGAGTGAGCGAGTGGGGAAGATTTTGCGGAGTTAAAACAGTGTCAACGAAACAGTTCTCGATGTGGCGGAGTTGTGTTTTTCTTTATTTGAAAACAGAGCGGGTGGGTTTGTGGATGGGGTTTGCGAAATAGCACAGTAAAGTCAGAAGTGTAGCCAAGGAAAGGGTAGAGAGCCCTCCCCCCCCCCCCTCCCCCACACCCCCCCTGAGCTGCACACCCCGTTACTAACCTCGCTTGTTGCGTTTCCCTCGATTACTTTGACAGTATCCGTAATCCATACAGTTCAGCAGGACCAGCGCAAAGGAGAAAAGTCGAAAATGCATCTGTGCCATTGGATTTGGGAATTAGTTACACTGCACCTCAGCAGATCACTGCCCCTTTGCCGAGGATGGGGGATCTCTGAGACAGGGCAAAGGCTTGTGCTGTGTGTCCAAACGCCTGCTCGGCAGTCAAAGCAATGAGTTCAGACTCCGGGTGTGTGTCCGGCTGTTCACACATGGGACGGGGAGCTCTCTACTTTCACACCTAAGCCTCCAGACATGTTTCAGAGCGGTGACCACCCTCGCTCAGGGCGAATGTTAAAGCGATTGCGGACCTGGAGAAAGAGAGGAGGGAGGGAGGGAGGGAGGGAGAGATGGAGGGGTGGTGGGCGGGGGATGGAAGAAACGACACAGAGACATTTTAAGATAAGCAGCTATAAATAATCACACTAGAAAAAAATTCTCTATCCCGTTGAGGAATGAGCTAATAGCAAATGAAATCGTGGCAATTGCCAAATGCTTTATTGGAATTGAATCACAGACAGTGAAACGAGTTCCTTGGAAATTCAAGGTTCGTAATATCGATCGCGCCCAATGGATTATTGGATTGACATCATTATTTACAGCAACGATATACCTTTACGGATTACACGCCATCGCGATCGTAAGGATACGGCTCAGCACATTGCTTTCAGTCCGATTGCAAACAACTCGAGAAATAAACCGCACGTGTTTTCAAGAGAGCGTCTGAAACAGTATTACCTCTGCAGATGCATCTGCCTCACCGCAGACTGTATCCCTGTAGGTGAGCTGTGTCCTCCAATTCATCAGTCAGTGAACACGTTGGAAGTTTCTGACAGAATCAAACCCCCAAGACATTATTCCACGAGGAGCAGTGTGGAGAAGAGGAGTGGAGGAGGAATGGGTGGTGTTGGGGGGGGGGGAGGAGGGGGGAGGAAGGAGACGAGCAAAGAAAAAATCTGAATTCCTCTTACTGGGAAGAGCCAAATATTAGCAGATCCGCGTTGGGTTCAGAAAGGAGGGAATTGGGGGGGAAAAAAAGGTGCTCGTTTGGAGGGGGGAGAAGGGATATGGTTTGGGAGGGAAGGAAGGAGTGAGTGGGTCTTGTCCTGTAGATGAGTAAGTGGAGAGAGGGAGAGAGAGAGAGCTGGTGGCTGGAGCTCAGTGACTGCACAGTACCACTGGTGCCCCTGATGTTGTCCGCTGCCTCTTGTAATGCTTTCAGCGATGACGTTCAACCCTTACGGTATAAATGGCAGCTCAGGTTCAGCCGAAGGGGGAAGCAAAGGGCACGACGTGAGAGAGAGAGACAGACAGACAGACAGACAGAGAGAGAGAGAGAGGGAGGGAGAGAGAGAGAAAACGCGTTGCTTTTGAAACCTAATAGGGGGTGCTGTGCTCCCGTCTCATCCACAGCACAGCTCCTGCCTGCAGCAAACTTCCCACACAGCTTCCGTGGGGTCCTAACGCCGCAAATGATCCCCCCCCCCCACCCACCCACCCACTCCACTCCACCTCCCCTCCCTCCTCTCTCTCTCCCCCTCCCCCTCCAGCCCCCATTGGCAACACTTCTCAACCCATTCATCAAGACCAGAAAGCGCTGCACAATAAATAAATCGCCAAGTCCGGGCACTGTTACGAAGCTGTTGTGATGCTCTTTGAGTAAAATGGCACAAGGCGATCGCAGCGCAGGGTTTGCCTTGTGGGACTATTGCCCGTCACCGCACTTTCTCACGACGAGGCTCTCACACACCAACAGTCTCTCCCGAGAGAAACACTGGAAGCCGATCAGCCCGGAATAACCCTCTCAGATATGCCTCCATCCCTGCAACCAGACCGCACCGCACTGCAACACGTGTATCAAAGGTGAAAGCTTTTGCGCCGCTCTATTCTTACCGATTTGCGTCGACGTTTTTAAGGCGAACCATCATTTGAAACGATGCACTTTATTCTTTTGCAACAAAAAAAACACACAAACTTGATGGTGACCGGTTAACTGACCCGAGAATAACTCAAACGAATCGGGCTGTTGGCTGGTTGGTGTTGAAGGTCTGTTGATGGGTGATTATTGATCACTGAGGAGGGAGTTTGTGGTATCCTGACCAACCCCCCCCCCCCCACCCCCCAATAAAAAGTGGTCAGGCTCTCCATCCCCGACTGCCTGTGAGGTGTCGTTACGTGCAAATTGGCTGCTGTGCTCACCTACAAAAATACAGTCACATCACTTTACAGAGGGGGTTCTTCCAAACACTTTGAGACGTCCACCCGACCCCAAAGGCGCTCTCAATTAACTTGTAAGGATGTGTTCGCAGTAACGCGCTGAAAGACTGGTAACTAAATCATAACCAGAAGGCAAAAGTGAAGCGTTTCACGGTGACAGCTCTGACACGAGCATTACCATGTCTGCTCTCAGTGAATCACAAGTATCTCGATGCCGGTTACGTTGTTCACCGGTTTCAAGATCATTAATAAATCATATGTCCACATCCCTTTAATATCTGCAGTTGTTGGCAGGTCCCCGTGACCGCAACATAACACATACTTGTAGATTAAACACTGGTTTAACGCTGCTTCGCATCTGAATCGCTATCCCACACTGGCACTGAACCAGTCTCTGTCTACACGTTGCAAACTTCCTACGCCAAGGAATGAGACTTGTGCGGGTTATGGCTTACTCCTTGTGGACACGGGTCGATGTGAGGCAGTTATGTGTGTGCGTGTTTGCAGAGTCCCACGATCGGAACGGGGGGAAAAAAATGACAGTGGCAGTGAGGGAACCACGTAATGTGTTTTCCTGCAAGGTTTGGGAGATCGGGAAAGGTTTTTTAAGACAGGAGCCGGGGGCTGAGTAAGTGTGGATTGTAGGATCAGTGAGGGAGTCGAAAGAGAGAGAGAGAGAATCAAACCAAACTACATGTTTGACTAATCCTAACACAGATCGTGTTAGAAATCCAGGGCCATCTGTACCTACAGGCACTTCCCCACTGTAGCTCCCAGTTTTTGTTCATCCTTCACGTTGCACTCGGGATCAAACCTTTTACGTGATTTAATTCTTTGGAAATCTTCACGGAATTCCTACACACAACCCACTCTCGGCGAATTCTGCACAGAGCGTATGTGTGTTTACAATACACGATTAAATACACAAAACTGCAGTCATATCGAAATCAGGGAAACAAATGAACATTATTAGTGTTTTTATTATGGTTTCGTGTCTCCCACACGGAGAGCTGTTTGGGTGCAATTCGCTGGAATTAAGACACGCAAAGCAATTCGTTTTTTGTTGGTGGTGGGGGGGGGGGGGGTTCAAAAAAAAATGCAACGTCTTTAATCTGGACTTTCTCAACGTGTTGCCCTGTGTTGTGTTGCGTTGCGTTGGGGATAAGTTATTTGAAACGATCGCTGCGGTGCGGATCGTAAGGACAAGTGCACTCACAAAGGAGAATCATTACAGCAAATTCAATCGAGTTCCAGTAACTAAGTGCTGCCTTGAGAGGCAGTAAGTGGAGTGACTGATGCTTTCCCCCCTCCCCTCCCCTCTCCTGAATCACTTGCTCTCTGAGATGAAGGGAGGACATAGCCGCCTGGGTGAGTGTGGGGGTGGTTGGGGGGGGGGGGGGGGTGGGAGGGGGTGAGAAATCCGCCGACTTCCTCGAACTTTTTTTCTCTCTCAAAGCAAAGATCGTGTTAAAAATTGCGATTGCAAACTCTTATCCAAAATGTGTGCGAGGGGAATGGCGTGGGAGGGAGGGAGGGAGGAGAGGAGGGAGGGAGGAGAGGGAGGGAGAGAGGAGGGGAGGGAGGGAGGGAGAGAGGAGGGAGGGAGGGAGAGAGGAGGGGAGGGAGAGAGGAGGGGGAGGGAGGGAGGGAGAGAGGAGGGGGAGGGAGGGAGAGAGGAGGGAGGGAGGGAGAGAGGAGGGAGAGATACAGTACAAGTTACAGTTAATGCTGTCGTGATCCCGATCTATTCTCACGACAAAAACAATTTTTTGCATATAATATTAAGAAAATCAAAACACAGTTTTTTTTTAAAAGAGCAAAGCCACGTGTTTGTTTGCCTTTCGCCCACGAGATCTAGAACTGCACCATTTATTTCCATTTCCAGCCAAAGAAAAAAACCCTGTGAAGTAAACAATCTCCTGAGCTGCAAATTTTAATTTGGGTCAGGGTAGAGAAAAAAAATCAAAACTTCCAAGAGTTTTATCTTGAAAATCGTAGTGGATTTGTTTAACCCCCCCCCCCCCACACACACACACACACTTTGCAGTATAGCTTTCACACGTATATTGATAAAAGTACAAGACAGGATCTGTACTTCTGTCTGGAAGCGTTGCAATAATCTGCATTCCCCCACATCTACCTATAGCATCGGCTGCATCTGACCCACATTTGTCCCACAGAAAGCATTTGTTAAATGCCTGGACAGGCATTTGAAAGAGTGAAGCTCCCAGACGGGATGTGCCTTAAGCAAACCCCTGTGGTTCAACGGCAGCAGAGAGTTGGTTAATAACCCCCTCTCTCTCTCTCTCTCTCTCCCCCCACCCCACCCCCAGACACACACACCCATTAGATAAGAAGGTTAGGATGTGCCTTAAGCAACCCCCTGTGGTTCAACGGCAGCAGAGAGCTGGTTAATAATCCCCTCCGACACAGACACACACACACCCCTATCAGATAAGAAAGTTAAGATTTTTTTTCTTGGAACAAAAAAAAGAGCCATTCGATAAGTGCACTTGGAGAGAATGCGATTTATCTTGTGCACACGACAGGGCGATCGCAGGAAGGCACCAACATAACTGCACTGTGCTGTGTACTGGGTCGATCAGACGAGACATAAATAATGACCGCTTTGTGGTGCACAGAGGAGGTGACAAAGTGGGACTGTAGGGGTGATATGATCTTCCTGCTAAGGGACGCTGGGGAAAGGCACCGAGGGACATTCTGCAAGAAAACGAGCAAAGCTGCGAGACGGGAGCAATTGAGGGACAACTTATGAGACAGTAGAGAGAGCTCAGATCTGTGTGTGTGTGTGTTTCAGTGATTGACCAACTCTGGGCAACCTCCAGCCCTTCCGCATTCCCCTATTGCAAATCCAACCAAGACAATTCCACATCATATGTGTGTGTGTGTGTGAGAGAGAGAGACATAAATCACAGCCTCCTTCCGTTTATTCATGTTCTCAGCGCATCCCTCTGTTTGAACCCAATCTCAGATTGTCTCTGATATGTAGAAGTGAGATGTCACCTCGAGATTCTGGACAAAAGAAGTGTAGGAGTGTGAAACCCGAGGTGGCCCGAAGCAATTGAGACGACGAGACGTGACCTGGTGAAGCAGCCTGTTAGCCAGTGTAAATAGAAAGTAGGCACATAGCCCAACTTTCCAAATCGTAGTCCTGGAGGGAATTGGCTGGAGATGGATATGTTAAACCTGACCCCCAGCAGTGTCACCTTCTGCTGGGAAAATATCCCTGCTCTGTGCTGCTGTCCAAGGCTGACACGTCGTATACTTGTTAAAATAATTAACCCAATACCAATAATACAAAATAGACAAAATCAGCAACTCACCTCTGTAAGCATTAACTTTCCATTGCTTAATAATGGGTCATATTAAAATATCAGAGAGCAGCAACACCTGATCCTTTGCTTCTTCCCTCCCTGTCTTCAAAACTTTCTGAGATAATCACTGGCCCAACACTGCCCCAGTATAATATTGGTCATTCATTTCATGGCTGTTTTTGGGATAGTGTTATGTGCAAATTGGCTGCCCTGTGTACTTACAAATACAAATGCAGTCATTACACTCATGCTATCCTGTAAAGCACTTTGAAACATCCTCCCATGAGATATATCAAACACAAGGATTATTGTTATAAAATCCTGAAATTCTCCTTTCCCCTCCTCCCTGTTCAGTGTGAAGCACTTTGAAACATTTAATCCTATGTGAAAGTCTCTATACAAGTGCAAGTAGTTGTTACATTAAAACTACTACAAATATATGAACAAATATAATGAATGGTGGCCACTCCAGTCATCACGTATCACTTTACGTGTAGGAAAGTTCAAATCTCAGGGAGGTGGAGAGAGGAATAGTTGAAGTTCAACAACAACAGCAACATAGGATAATAATTATTTCATTTGATATAGCACCTTATAATGTCTTCGAAATGTCTCAAACCGCTTCCCTGAATATACTGTAAAGAGAATTGACTGTTCACCTAGACTAACGTCTCATACACTTAACAGTGACAGACACTGAATGGGGTGAGGCAGGAAGGAGGTGACTGTAGGGATAGTCAAAGAGGTAGGTTGTAAGATATTTTTTTTCGAAGATAGATGGGGCTGATATTGAATGGATGAGGGAATGAGTTCCACTGGAAAGTTCCATAGTGGCTGAAGGCTTGATCCCTGATGGTGGGACAGAGAGGATGGGAATGTGCAGCAGGCCTGAGTTTGGCAAGCGGAAGGGGACGAGCAAAAGTGTGAAACTAGAGAAGATCACAGCGGTAAAGATAAAACTCAGGAGAGAAAACAGATTGTGAAAAATGAATTGAGTCAATTGCAAAACGTTCAAGGAAAGACCCAAAGACAAGGTAAGCGGTTCAAGGAGCAAAAACACACATTTGCTAGTATACAATAAATACCATAAGCAACCAGAATAAAATGATGGAAGTATAACAATAAAACAATATAAGAATCAGAAATCTGAATTGAATACATTTAGTACAAGATGTGTACAAGGGTTTCAGAAAGATAGGAAGAACAGTAAAGGATGGACAAAACACAAAATACTGCAGATGTTGGAAATCTGAAACAAAAGCAGAGAGAGCTGAGAAAACTCAGCAGGTCAGGCAGCATCTATGGAGAAAGGAATGTGAGTCAACGTTTCGGGTCCACAACCCTTCATCAGAATGTCAGTTCTTCATCAGTTTTGTCAGAGAAGCAAGGAAGGAAGTTGGGAAGCACTGCATGTGATTTGGAGGAACTCGATCCAAGTTACGATGGTCTGATAGATTGGAAACAAGCAAATGTGGTTCCCATATTCAAGAGAGTTGACAGCACAATACCTGGCAACAACAGATTCATATTAGGTTATTTCCATTTTACTTCTGATTATTGGTTCCATTAGTTCTTGAATGTTGAGCCTGGCCTCAATGGTTCAAAAACTAATGGAATCAATAATCAGAAGTAAAATGGAAATACGTTTATTTGGCCAACACAGTTTCAGAATGGGCAGATCTCACTTGACCTGCTTAACCTTCGCTCACAGGCTTTTTTGAGAAGATGGATTCTCAAATTGAGAGCAATAATCTATATGAAGTAATGTGTCTAGATTTCCAAAAGGGTTTTGATAAAGTGCTAGAAACTCCTTTACAAGATGATGCCAAGTATAAAGGGTAAACTGTTTCCTTTCGCAGTACTCTGTGCATTTTACAATTAAAGCAATTGCCAGCAAAATGCACAGTCATTTGCATTACAGTAAATCTTGTGAAGCACTTTGAGACATTCTCCCGATGTGAAAAGCGCTCTATCAAATGGAAGGGTTATTTTAGGAAAGTTAATATATTTTGACAGACTCTGCAGCTGGTCCGATCACAAGCAAACAAAGTTCCAGGTAGATAAATAATATCCCTGCATTTAATATAGTGCCTTATCACATCTTCGAGACATCTCTAAGAGCTTCACAAAGTAAACTGACTCCATATTTTATGGGCAAAACGCATCAGCCAATGGCATACAGCAGTGTCCCACAAAAAGTCATGGATTGAGTGACCAAATTTTTAAAAAAGGGGTTTATTACCCCCAGAAAAGCAATTCCCCCAATCGACTAACAACCGAGTTCCTACTTTTTGTTTGGTAACCAGAGGCATATGGAGTAAGGAAATGTTTTGCCCTGCCCATGAATCGTTCACAGGTCCTCTTGCTTGCGAGGCAAGTACTCTGACCACTAAGCAACAGATGCCAGTAGATGCAAGGTATTGAATAAAGGAAGCAAAAATAGCTATCAGAGGAACTTCATGGAAGGAATAGAAATTATGATGGGGAAAGTTGAAAGAGACTTAAGGGTATTAGTTGGCTGTTGCTCACTTGCCAAACAATGTGAGACAGCAATAAACAAATCAAGCAGGGTACTGGACTTCACTGCCAAAGTAGTTAATTTCAAATCCCTAAATCCTACTCAAACTGTGCAGTACTCTGGTCAGGCTGTGTATATTTGTGCTTGCTGAAAAGTAAAGGGGGCTACCATAATCCTCGAGGTAGTACAGAAGAGAGCAATTTGGCTCATCACAGTTTTAGTGGAATGAACCGATAGGTATGCTTGGATAAACTCATCTTAAAACCTTAAAAATAAATCTGCTAAGGGGACTTAATATTCTAAATAGAGTAAGTAAACACAGGGCAATATTTTCAGATATGCTAAAGCAGTAATTTTACAATTTACACTTGTAGAGAACCCTTCAAATCAGGAGGATGTCTCAAGGTTCTTGACAATGCTGGCTGGTCACCTGAGCTGAGTGTGGGAGCTGAGAGGGATGAGGAGGGGAAAGATGATTGAAAATATGGTCAAAGCAAGGAGGATGGAGGGAGCAAGCCAGAGAAGCCCAAAGTTGGATTTCCATGCCCACTGATAGCAGGGTGGATAGTGCGGGGGATCTAAAGCAGGCTAGTGTTCACTGAGTGAAGGGAGCAACCATGTCGGTATGGTTTAAGGAAGGATTTAAACCTGAAGAATGAGGATCTTAACCTTTATCTGCTGGGGGATGTGGAGTCAGTGGAGCCTAGGTCTGGTGCGGGAGAGGACATGGACTGCAGAGTTTTTGTTAGTCTGCAGCTAAATGTAATATCTTAGCCACCCCTCCTGGTAATGTGTTACAGCTTCTGATTACTCTCTGTATAAGAAAATACTTACTGGTACCTGTCCTACCTAACCTTGTCCTTCATGAACCTGAGGCTGTGACCTTTTTGTCCAACAACAATAACAATTACATTTGTATAGTGCCTTTCACGTGGGGAGGATGTCCTAAGGCGCTGGACAATCAGGGATCTGACCCGAGCTGGTGGTTGCTGTCAGGAGAGGTGGAGGGTGGTGCGGGTAGGGTAGGTGGGTGACCGAAGGCACGGTCTAAGAGAAGTCTGAAAGCACTTCACAAAATACAATGCAAAGTGAATTGATTATATTTTATGGGCTAAACACATCAGTTCAAGATTGATTCTACCAATGCTCTGCTCACCAGACTCCCCAGCTCTTCTCTACACAAGCTGCAGACTAACAAATGTCCTGGCGAACAATCCCCCAAATAAAATTGGTCATTCATGGCTAATTATGGGACATTTCTGTGGTTTGATATTGAGATATGCAGTCTGAGTCATGCAGACCAGGATGATTCTATGTTTGATCGCAAATTGAGCTGAACTCATGGTTGATCTCTCTCTATGTCCACACATGAATACAGCAATTCACACAAATAAGGTTACATTTAAATTTTATATACATACGGCAGAATACATTTAATTCAAGTGACAATTTCATTTTGGTTTAGGTGTGAAAATCAATTGCATTTGGAAGGAAAGATTCGTGAAGAAAAGAAAACAAAAGAAAGGAGGAAGAAAAGAAAGTAATGCAACATGAAAGAAAGAAAGAAAGAAAGAAAGAAAGAAAGAAAGAAAGAAAGAAAGAAAGAAAGAAAGAAAGAAAGAAAGAAAGAAAGAAAGAAAGAAAGAAAGAAAGAAAGAAAGAAAGAAAGAAAGAAAGAAAGAAAGAAAGAAAGAAAGAAAGAAAGAAAGAAAGAAAGAAAGAAAGAAAGAAAGAAAGAAAAAGCAAGCAATTGACGGAGTTGAGTTTACAGTGACGGTCGGGGCTGAGTGTACGAATGACCAACCAGATCTGACCGCAACCTTAATTCACAATCCTCCTTTCTCTCTAGTGTTTTTGCCAGCAAGATTTTCAGTTCTGTTTTATGTGGCTTGACTCAAATTTTGGCTTTCAAGATTTAAGACAGACACTTACCTCAGATTGGGCATGTCTTGACCCTGAAAATAGATAGTTTGTCCTTTCCTAGTGCTGACCATGTAAGAAAGAATTCAATATGATATAGTAATTACTAGCCAGTGATTCACTTTCTTTCTCAATTATATGGTAATTAGGTCATCCAAAATCCAAAACAAAATATAAGGGAAGCTATAAAATTAGATGGAGGGGAGGGAGGGGGCACAACATTAAAGTTACTGCAATAGCCATGGAAAATTCAACAGAGATTGATAGAGCTGTCAATTTGGGGACTTTGTTCAAACAACAAAAAATGGAAAGCCTGGTAATATACATTAGAGTTTTACAATGCAATAAAACAACACAATTTATATTTCTATAACACCTTTCACATCGGGAGGATGCCTCAAAGTACTTTACACGGCTGACTGGGCTCCCAAACAGTGATTTGGAACAGGAAAGGAATGTTTTGCGCTTGCTTTTCCACAAAAAATTGGGGGGCATGTTATTATTACATAGATATTATGTATACATATGTTTCTATGTGCTGGTTGAGAGAAGTAATGCATCAATGCAGATTTGATGAGCTGCGTGGTCTTTTTCTAAACTGTAGCATTCTATGATTCTGTATTCTCTCAGGTCATTTTAAAATCGCTGTTGACTGGTTGTCTACCCATCTGTCAATATTAACAACATTATTGATGTGCAAACCCCCCCATTGCTGATGTTCTTGTGACATTTTGTCTTGGAAATGATAGGTAAATCAGCTTTTTTATCCGCTTTTATCAATCATGTCAATTACAACTTTACACGCTCTTAAAATGTCTTGCTACGTTGCTATGTCTGTCATCCACAAAAAAAAATTGTTGCATATTTTGCCTGGTTAGTACGAAGGTCTCCAAAATGTGATCTAGTTTAGTGCCCCAGATCCCTCAAACTGGTCCTACTCAGGAGTAGTGTTGGTGGGTACTTGTCAGCCAGGAAATTTTGGTAATAATAATAATAATAATCCTTGCATTTGATATAGCGCTTTATCACGTTGTCGAAACGTCTCAAAGCGTTTCACAAGCTATACTGTCAAGTGGACTGTCAAGTGTGTGTTTTGTGGGCGAAACCAACAGTCAATTATGCACAACAGTGTCCCACAAACAGTTGTGGATTGAGTAACAACATAATTTTTTTAAATTTGAAGAGATTATTACCCCCCGGAAAGTGATCCGCCAATCAACTAACAACCGGGTTCCTCCTTACTGCTAGGTAAACAGAGGCGTGTGTTAAGTTTTCTTTAAGGGATTATGTCTGAAAACGCTTCATTCACTTCAGGAGGATTTACTACAACAACAACAACAAAATTACATTTGCATAGCACCTTGCACATTGAGAGAACGTCCCAAGGCGCTGAACCGTCAGTGTTACAGACCCGAGCTGGGTATCGGGATTGGGGAGGGTGTAGGCCTGGGGGGAAGCAGGGTGATCAAAAGCACGATCGAAGAGGAGGGTCTTGAGATGGGTCTTGAAGGAGACTAGGAAGGGGTCGAGGTGGAGGGAATGCGGGATGGAGTCAGAGGATAGGGCAGATTGGCAGAAGGAACGCCCACCAATGGTGGGGCGGGCGAGGCAGGGGACGTGAAGCAGGCTGCAGCCCACTGAGTGGAGAGAGCAGGCAGGATGGGAAGGGATTAGGAGGTCGCAGAGGTAGGATGGAGTAAGGCTATGGAAGCTTTGAAGGAGAGAACCAGAATCTTGAACTGTATCCTCCGTGTGATGGGAAGTCAGTGGAGTTGGGCAAGGATGGGAGTGATAGGGTGTGAGAGAGGACCCGGGCTGCAGAGTTCTGCAGCCTTTGGAGGGAGGAGTTGGGGAGGCTGACAAGCAAGGAGTTTGCACAGTCAAACCTCGATATTATGAATGTATCTATGAGGGAAGGGAAGTGTACAATTGAGGGAAGTGTAGAAGTGTGGAGTCCTGTAGCTCAGTGGTTAGAGCACTCGCCCAGCAAGTGAGCAACCTGGGTTTGATTCCCAGCAGGGCAAAACCCTGGGCAAGATTCTTTACTCCACACACATAATAATAATCCCTCAAGAAAACAAAACAATAATAAATTAGTCACTTCATTCCACAATTGTTTGTGGGACACTGCTGTGCGCAATTGCCGCGTTTCACCCACAAATATACAGTCAATTCACTTTACAGTATATTCTGTGAAGCGCTTTGAGATGTCTAGAAGACGTGAAAAGCACTATATCAAATGCAATGATTATTATTTTATTCATTATTGTCAATTGTAGGTAGATGAGTTATTTTCTCTATGGGTCAGGACTGGCCCCCTGCACATTTAAATAAAGTTTGCAGAAAGTAAAGTCAAAGACATACTCATTTTACTCATTCCTTTTCTCTTTAGGTACCACTTTGGATGTCAGGAATGAATGAGATTGCACATGAATTGGAATAAACAACACATTGTTATATTCATTCACTTCATGACTGTTTGTGGGACATTTCTGTGCACAAATTGGCTGCCATATTTACCTACAAATATACAGTCATTACACTTTACAGTAAAATCTTGTTATGTTCTTTGAGATGTATAAACAACATACTAAGACACTTAATCGAATGCAAGGAATAATTATTATTGCAATTCCCTCTCAAAAGCTAATCCTGCCTCAACTACAGTTCCACGTAGAGAATTCTACATCCCAACAATTCTTTGTGTGTAAAAAAATCTTTTGAGAAATTGTCCCTCTTACTCAGTATTGAGACTGCTTTAATTCCCAAAATTATTTTTTTTTGCACCAATTATGTTCTTTCCCATGGGTCTACTCACACACATAGGTTTCTCAGTGGTTTTAGAAGTGAGTTCCACAGCACAAGCAGTGTTTAGACACTGCAGACATTGGCTGGTGCCAAAATCCAAACACAATGTTATTCGCGTGATTAGATATGGTTCTTTTCTTAAATTGTCTGCTTGTATGCAATGTATGACGAGTACCACTTCCTCACTGGTTTCTCTTTCATTCATCGTGATTTACCCCCTAAATCCACAAAAAGATAAGACATGAACACCACTATATTAAGTTATGGAACTCCAATCCTTTTAGAGACACGTCTTAAAATCTACAAAAGGTACCCGGTTATCCTATCTAATTAATGCAATAATTTATAAATGTTTCAGCGTTTATGTCTGTAACACCCACATACTGACAAACCTACTGAGAAATTTGCTCAACTATGCAGAGAATGCCAGATAGCTTATTTTATATGAAACTGACCAGGTGGTCTACTAAAGCAATACTTCATTAGAAATGGCAGAGCATTTAAAAGAATGGATATCCATTGTGTGAGTGCATACCATTCTTCACCCACATAGAATTACAGTGCACCTCCTGCCTGTAAAACTTTCTCTCAGATAGCCTTACTGGATCTAATTTGCAGTACATTGTACTTAAAGCAAACAGTATCCCTTCTTGGATAATTATTCCAACTCATTCTTTTTGACGTCTCACGTGCACTGCCCACTCCACCATTGGCAATCCTTCCGTCTTTCTGTCCTTAACCTCTGAAACTCCATCCCAGAGCCCGTTCACCTCACCCCTCCCTTACCTCCTTCAATACCCATCTCAAGACCATCCTCTTCAACTGTGCCTTCAGTTATCTTCCCACCCCCCAAACCCCTTGTCCTTCACCCCTCCTGATTCCAACCTCCAATTTTGATGCAAACCCTTCACAGTCCAGCGCCTTGTGACATTCTTCCGACCTAAAAATGACAATATAAATTTGTTGATTTTTAACCCTTAACTTTTCTCCTCCAGTGTTTTCCTGAATGCACCTGTCTCCTTTTCCCTTTTACTGGGGTATGGGCAATACCCGGCTCAAGTGACCATTATTCGTGTGTGAGCTTTGACAGTGTGCTCTAGCAAGCTATTCAGTTGAATCAATCTATCTTCACTCAGTATCAATACACATGCATCTTCCAGTCTGGAGAGTGATCAGGTGTCAACAACAACAACAACTTGCACTTATATAGCGCCCTCCACATAGGGTAGCGCCTCAAAGCGCTTAACAATGGCGGACCTGACTGCAAGCCAGGGGGAGGGGGGACGTGGGCCATAAGCATAGTCGAAGAGGAAGGTTTTTAGGTGGGACTTGAAACAGGGGAGAGAGGGGACAAGGTGGATTCACTGCAGGAGTGCGTTCCAGAGTTTTGGGGTGCAGTGGCTGAAAGCGCGACCTCCGATGGTGGGGCGGAGGGTGCGAGGGATGAGCAGGAGGCTGGTGCCAGTCGAGCGGAGGTGCTGGGTGGTGGATTGGGGAGTAAGGAGGTGGGAGAGATAGGGAGGTACCAGGGAGTGAATGGATTTGAACACGAGTGTGAGGATCTTGAAGCCGAGTACATTCGGCTATTTCCCTCTCTCTAATACACAGGAACTGAGACCAATTGCAATTGTACTTACCACTTCCTCACCTAAAATCATCTAACACAAAACACACTCGGATTCAAACTTGTAACTTTTTGTATAACCTGTAGCACCGGAGATGCCTTTATGCACGAAACCATCAGGCGAACTCTGATTGGATTCATTTCTTAAAAACAATTTAGAGCCCTTGCATGCAGAAACGTGTTCGGTTCCATTAGTTATTATTTAAAAGGTGATTTTTAAAAATAAAGCTTAAAAAGTACAAGTTGCTACCCTGCCGACACCTGTGTGTGTGTCAAGGCTGCACCGATATCCTTCTCCAGCAGCCTGTCTACCAGCATAACTGTCCCCTCTGCCATCAGATGATATTACAGACTTTAGATGTGTATTTGTGAAATGCTGACAGACAGATCGCCTGCAGCCTTGTACAGCTTCTCATTTCATCATCCGTGGAGTCCTGTAGCTCAGTGGTTAGAGCACTCACCTCACAAGCAAGAGGACCTGGGTTTGATTCCCGGGCGGGGCAAAAGTTTCCTTAATCCACACGCCTCTGTTTAGCCAGCAGTAAGTGGGAACCCGAGTGTTAGTCAATTGGTGGATTGCTTTTCCGGGGGTAATAATCCCTTCAAAAACAAACAAAAAAAATTTGGTTGCTCAATCTATGACTGTTTGTGGGACACTGCTGTGCGCAATTGGCTGCTGAGTTTCATGCACAAAATATACAGTCAATTCCCTTTACAGTATATTCTATAAAGCTTTGAGACATCTCAAAGACATGATAATGCGCTATATCAAATGCAAGGATTATTATTATTAAGTGGCGTAATAAAATTGTATCCAATGTAACCTAAGATATTTGGATGTCCAACAATCCTCCGAATAAAATTAATCATTTACTTTATGGCCATTTGTGGGACATTGCTGTGCCCAGATTTGCTGTGGCATTTCTTCACAAATATAAAGTCTTCACTCTACTGAATAGTCTGTTTTGCTCTTTGAGACGTTTTGATATTCTGTCAAAGGTCCTTTAACAAATGGAAGGACTAATTATTGTTCTATTTACATACTTGTGAATTCAGTAATCTTTGAAATTAACTACCATTACATTTCCAAAATAGATTAAAACAAATTCAAAGTAATAGTAATCAATAACAATCCTTGTGCACCTTTCATGTTGGGAGGATGTCTCAAAGCACTTAACAAGGTTTATCGGAAAGTGTCGTGACTGTGTATTTTATTGGCCAATGCAGGAGCCAATGCATACACAGCAATGTCCCACAAACAGCTATGAAGAGAATGATCCATTTTATCTGCACCATTATTCTCATTATTGACATTGAGAGAAACACCCTTTTCTTTTCAAATAGTGCCATAGGATCTTTAATGTTCACATGTTCACATGTTCACCTGAACCAGCAGACAGGACCTTCGATTTAATGCCTCATCCAAAGCCAGCACAGCACCTCCAACGATTGTCTCCATCCTCGAACGTCATTGCTTTAGCACTGTATTGGATTGTCAACCTACTCTGCGAGTTCAAAATCCAGATGTGGGGTTTGAACCCACAACCCTCTAACTCAGAGGTGAAAATGCTACTAACTGAGTCAAGCTGAAACCTGAATATTACTCAAAGGCTCAAGAAAGTAATTATTTTATTGTGAGATGAAATTACACTTCTTTTTGTTATAAAANGATCCAGATTTTCCATGTTAAAGGTATTATTATTCACAGGCACAAACATTCCAAAATATTTTTCATCTAAATCCAAATTCACCTAATTTTCTGGAGGGATGGATTGTTTGACTGAGCAACAGGAGGATGGTTGTAGGCAGGGATAATCAACAATTTGAGAGACTACCACAAAGTTTACCCTTCATCTGATGCTATCCACATAAAATATATGCTCTCATATTGTGATACAAAATACAACATGTCCAAGGTTCAGTCAAACAATCTTAATAAAAAGATGGATATCCTACATATATACTTCTGTAACCACATTTGTACTCAGCCCTTTGAAGAATTAATGTCAAAACATTTCATATACATAGTAAGGGAAAACTGTGGATTAAGATCAAATATTGCAAAGGAATGAGTATATTTCAGTGGCTTGGTATGTTATCCATCACAAGGGGAGTAATGTTATACTTGGAAAACAGAAATATAATCCCATTTCCTTGATAAAATATGAATCACAACAGTTTTTTTGACGGGTATGTGTGGGAGACTGCTTATAGTTGAGGTAGTGGAGTGAGAAGCTGTACATAAAGCATATGTTGTATCTGCACATGAAACAAAACCAGACAGCTTGCTGTTCTGTTGTATTTAAGCCTAAAACAACTTATCACAGACAGAACAGCATGTTCAGGTGGACATTAAAAACCCCAATGGCTACTTGAAAAGAGAAGGGAATTTCTCCCAGTTTTGTGTCCAACAATTCTCCAGATAAAATTGGTCATTTATCTTCTGGCTGTTTGTGTCAGACATTCCTTCGTGCAAATTGGCTGCTGTGTTCCTCTACAAAATACAGTCACTACACTTTACAGTAAATCCGGTGAAGTGCTTTGAGACGTCCTCCCAAAACAATATGAAATGCAAGGATTATTTATTTTATT